TTAACAACCCACATTGGACCTAACGTCAGTGAAGTGTATCTATAATTTTGAGGAATTTAATATTATTCTATAGAACTGAAACCATGTTACTTAGTGTCATATATAAAGAAGCTAACTCCAAGCTATTTAGTCTAAAACTGATCCGCTGTACGATTAAATATTAAAACTAACTGACTACAAAAATAGCGAAAAATCCCATGCTTACACTTGTCTTCATTGAATTTTGTCGATAATTCAAAGTGATTTTCCCTGATTTAAGGCGACTGCGAACAAACGAAAGGAATGATGGAATTTGTCGCATTCGTACTGGCCACCACCCAATATATATATATATATATATATATATATATATATATATAGAGAGAGAGAGAGAGAGAGAGAGAAGAATATCTAAGTTATACGACCACTGAGAACCTGGATAAACTGGATGGGTGGGGTTCTAGTGAGAAGCCGTGACCAATTAAGCTCAACCATGTCGAGTGTGAGGAAGATGTCCACAGAAAACAGTGGAAGATAATCACTCGATATCGTGGATCGATTACAGTTAGACATTAACATCGTAGGACACCACCTCACAGGTCTAGAGTTAAAGGGTTGGCAAGCGAGACAGAGGGCTCTGGCTCCATTTCACGGAAGTGGGGTCGTGAATATGTATTACTAAGGAGTCCCATACTAAAACAGAATGGTCATCCAGTACTTCCAGGTTTTTAATATTGGTCAAAATTAGATCGGTTCAGGATTTTAATGAAGTTCAACTATCTCCTATACTTACAAAAAGAAAATTGTTTACGATAGTGAGTAGTAAACAGTAAACTAAAGCCAAATAACTGTAATACGATAAGAGAAATATCACGTCATATTAATCAGAATGGTAACAATAACAAAAATAACTGTATGAGGTAATAAATTCCAAGTACATTAACAACGATATACACTTAAAAGAGAGGAAGAGGTCAATGGTGAAAGAAGATTACGTTTAAGGTCAAGAAGCAAAATATGAACGTTACGTCATCAATTCGATCCGTAGAGTAGATCGGACGACCTTATGTTTATCAAACAAAGGGTGTGAATATACTTTAGCTGAACGTAATCATTGTACCTTTTCTTTATTCAGTAGTAACTTGATAAATTCCATTCAAAAAAGAAGAAATTCTTCCTTATTTTGAACAAGTATATATAACATTCTTGTTTAGTACAATAACAGCCCATGATAGTGTTGTTATTAGGATTACTATATTTTATTGGATGATTCTGCTTTAATTCTTTAATTTTGTTATTACTAATTAACCGAAATTTATGGATCTAGGAGTTAGATGATTTGAAATAACTGTGTTATTGGTTCTGTATGCAAAGATTAATGATACATATATTGAATCGCACAAACAGAAGCGGAGTGGAGTTCGAATTTGTAATAATGTAACCAGTGAACTACCATTCAAAACCTGTAAGCCGAAGAAATAGATGCTGTCTAAACAGATCAGTAGTATCATCCCATATTCTAAAACAGTGACTCATAGCATCAATTTCTTCAAGATCCCAGGTGTCTTACTGACGACGGTCAACTCGCACAAAATCGAGGTTCAGGATTTCCAGATAACTATCTTTAACCACTAAACATACCAAAGTAAAGAAGCAGTACCACAATTTAAGTTATTTATTGACTTGAAGAACTTCTTCACATTATACTACCAATCCTGATATGCCAAGATAAACCAAACAGATCCAATACTATTTCAAGTTCAATAGTAAAAAGGATGTTTGTTTAAGTAGGCTATTACGAGTAAGTAAATTATTTACCTAGGAAAGGTCACCACTTCCTACAAGCACCATGTCAATCAGGTAATTCACAAATATACATGAGCTGTAAAAATTATGGGTCGGTTATTAATAACAGATCTCTCTAGACAGTTCGACCTTTTTGCACGGCAAGACCAGTTAATCAAACATCAGGGACGTAGAAGTGACTGAACCGACTCATGGACTACAATAAATGCAATCAAGGCTTATGAAAACCAGTGAATGGTCCATGTTGACAGCGGTGTGCATGAAAAAGGAAATAATCCAATCAAACTACCAGCTAATAGAGAACCCAAGTGTCAGTCTATAATAATAATAATAATTATTATTATTATTATTATTATTATTATTATTATTATAATCATTATTATTATTATCACCATGTTCACATTAGC